AAGGCTGGACTGGAGGAATCCCAAGCCGAAATCAAGATTGCCGGAAGAAATATCAACAACCTCCGATATGCAGATGATACCACTCTGATGGCAGAAAGTGAGGAGGAATTAAGGAACCTTGTAATTAGGATGAAAGAGGAGATTACAAAAAACGGTCTGAAGCTCAACATCAAAAAAACAAAGATCATGGCCACTGGTCCCATCACCTCCTGGGAAACAGAAGGGGAAGATATGGAGGCAGTGACAGATTTTACTTTCTTGGGCTCCATGATCACTGCAGATGGAGACAGCAGCCATGGAATTAAAAGATGCCTGCTTCTTGGGAACAAAGCCATGACAAACCTAGACAGCATCTTAAAAAGCAGAGACATCACCTTGCCAACAAAGGTCCACATAGTCAAAGCTATGGTTTTTCCTGTAGTGATGTATGGAAGTGAGAGCTGGACCATAAAGAAAGCAGACCGCCGAAGAATTGATGCTTTTGAATTGTGGTGCTGGAGGAGGCTCTTGAGAGTCCCCTGGACTGCAAGGAGAACAAACGTATCAATGCCAAAGGAAATCAAACCTGAGTGCTCACTGGAAGGACAGATCCTGAAGAAGAGAAGAGAAGACTCCTTGGAAAAGACCTTTATGTTAGGAAAGTGTGATGGCAAGAGGAGAAGGGGACAACAGAGGATGAGATGGTTGGACAGTGTCTTTGAGGCAACCAACATGAATTTGACACAACTCCAGGAGGCAGCGGAAGATAGGACGGCCTGGCGTGCTCTGGTCCATGGGGTCACGAAGAGTCGGACACGACTAAACGGCTGGGGTCACAAAGAGTTGAACACGCCTTAATGACCGAACAAGAACAACTGCATATTAGCAAGCCTCTTTTCTCAAATAATGAGATATTTATTTATTCATTACATTTTTATACCATCTTACTTAGTGAATCCACTACTCTGGGCAGTCATACAAACTAAGGATACAGATGTTGGATGTAATTAGAAATTCATTCCATAAAGTAAAACTAAGCAAATTTTATTCTATACAGCACATTGCAACTAGTCTAAATATATAGCTTAAGACACACAGTTTGTCTTCTCCGCATGAGTGCTGGAATGGAAAACTAGAACTAGTTTCCAGCTGTATACATGCATACAAACAACTCCTCAGTACGTAAGAGTCATCACGTAGGATGCATACAGTATGAAAGTTATTAAATCTCTTTCTTCTAGATCCTCCTTGGCTGAATAGAAACAGACTTTTCCAATCTGGAGGCCCTCCTGAGGTGCTTGAGCTATAGCTGTCCCCAGCTGCCAAGCCTTGTTGGCTAAGGATGATGGGAGCTCTGTCAGGGAAGCCTAGTAGACAGGCAGGAGAAATGAAATGAGGCAGGCACCTCAGAAAGGGATTAGAGGTTAATCATAATCTTTGAACAAATTTCCTCTCCAAAGACAAAAACCAAGCAATTTACACTGAAGCCTGTGTTTTAGCATTATGATCTCTTTAAAATGCACACACACACCTCTCCAGTTTAGCCCCTGCTAAACTGAAGATGGGAAAAGATATTACACAGATGGAAAACGTGGAGATGACAGCATTAGGTCCCTGTTTTAAAGGTGCTGAGAAGCTTCAAGAGGACTAAGAAGTTTTTCATGTTGATAATTAGTGATTTGTCACAGCAATTTATGTGTCAGTGCAGAGTGATCCAGCTCCCCGGCTATCTATAAAAGAAGCTAATTCTTCCTCACACCTTAGTGCATGCAGGGAGAACATTTGCTTTATTTGATTTCACAATGAACGTAACCCATGAGGTGTCGTGGGTTTGCTTTTGTTTTGTAAGGCTGACGATTGGCATATTTCCCATCAAAAGAAAAGGGAGGGGGGGCAAAAGGCGGGAGGGCCATTCTTTCTCTCAGGTGTATCATAAGAAAGCATCTTACCAGCCCATCACAATTACTGATGGCCACAGAAGCATTCGGCAGGTCAGTGATATCTCCCACATAGAGACAATTCCCAGAGAGCGGCTCTGTGTAAGTCAGGTTCGAATCCTCTTGCCATTCCACTGTCGCTCCTGGAGCCACCAGCCTAGAGTTGGGTCTCAGCCTGAAGTGAAACTCTCTTCCGAAAACAGTGACATTGTAGAAAACCTGCCCGTCCCCACTTTGGTGCGGAAGATCTGCTGTGTCCCTTCGGAAGCGCTTGGTCGAGACACCGGACACCACATGGGACAGAAACCTGCCCTCGGAGTCGGTGCTAGTCGGAATGACAAGGCTGTACTCTTCTAAACTGCCCCAAATAACATCTGGAAATAGAGAAGGAGAGGGAGAGAGGATCAATACCAGGCAACAATTAAAGCCACACGGAGCACTGCCACCTTAAAAAGAGGGATGTGTTGCATCCTACAGTTGTCTGAAGCGTGCACCTCTCTTTCCTTCCTTAGCGTGTCTCTCATGCACCCAGGCATACCATAAGGTTCATTCAACTACAGGGGGCTGAAACAACACGAAGAGAATTTCAATAAACAGGACAGAACGGAATCTTTCCAGCTGTTTTTTTTTTAAACCGGTTCCCCAACTTGCCATTGGGGTTGAGGACAGTCGATCACCCTGGGCTGGGTGAAGGGGGGGGTGAAGAGGGAGGCTGAAGGCAGCCCAGGGTAAATGAGACTCAAGTCACTGGAGCTGTGGGGTTGAGGACAGTCGATCTCCCTGGGTTGGGTGAAGTGGGGTGGGGGCGGTGAAGAGGGAGGCTGAAGGCAGCCCAGGGTAAATGAGACTCAAGTCACTGGAGCTGATGAAGGAGGTGTGTACAGGGAGGTACCTGTGAGGAACTTGAGGGACACACAACATTTCGCAATCACAATCAACTTTTAAAACTTTGACCCATGCCTATCCCCTGTCCTGCGGCCACCAAGCAAATGTGGCTGATAGCAAAGGAACTTTAAAGTTTCTCACTGGCAGTTACAATGGAAAAGTTCTTTAAAAATATGCATATAATATATATCGGTGTCGAAACCGTTTGCCCCGGTTCATTTTCCTCGTTTAATTTAAACAACAGCCGGAAAATAATACTTCAGCAGTCGCTGCCAGATGTTTTATTCCACACATGGAATTCCAGGAACTGACTCGCTAGACTCGGATGATGCTGCCACGCGCTTTCTACTGTAAAGAGAGTTCACCCGAGGTTCCCGCTTCCCCCGTTTGGCCAGCAAAACTCTCAGGTCGGTCCTCTCCTTCCCTCCCTCCCTCCCCGCCTCCGGCGTTTCGCCCGAAGGTCCCAAGGAGCGCCCTTTCCTTTCTGCCTCGCTCCTCAGGGACTCGGAGGGACACCGCGCGCCAGGGAAGGGAAAGGAAAACGCGGCGGCGGCGGCGGCTTACCTTTACCTTCTGCCACCGTTAATCTTCACTTTTGTTTTATTGTTGCATTAGTGTTGCTGTCATGGTCTCTAGATTATATGGGTTAAAAACTTGTATGAGCTCCCTCCTAGCAGCAGCTCCTGAGGCGCTGGCGCTGGGGGACAAGGCGGCAGGGTGCGCGCCGAGGGAAGCCTTTTCCGCCCGCCCGCCCCCTCTCCACTCCCTCAGCGTCCCCTACCTCTCTGCGGCGGGGGACTCTGCGGGGCCCCGGGGGCCAGGAGGAGCGCCCAGCAGCCGACGGCGAGGAGCGAGGCGAGGGCGGCGGGAGGACCCATGGCAGGCGGCGCGCAGCCGGAGCCCGGCTTTTGGAGCCAGCCTTAAAGTTCCCGGCAGGGGGCTCCGGCCACATTGGAGGGCAGCCGGCACCGCCCTCTCTTGCCCGGCGGCGCGGCGGGAGAAGCCCTCAGCAGCCCGGGCGCTGGTCGTGCTCCTCCTGGTCGTCGTCCTCCGCCTCCTCGCCCTGGCGCATCCACCCCGCTCTCCTCCGGCGCTCAGCAAGCGGCAGCTCTCCTCGGCGAAGGCAGCGCAGCGAGAGACTCCAGGACGCGGCGGGCTGGGAAGCGCAGGGCGTGCGGGAGGGAAGTCCGCCTGATTGACAGAGGAGGCGCCGCCGCTGCTGCCTTGGCCGCCCCTGCCGCTGCCTCGCCTGGCCTGGCCTGGCGGCTTCTTCGCCGCGGCCGCTCTCCCTGGAACTCGCCGGGCTCCCGCCGCCCTCTGGGACCAAACTCTGCAGCCGCCTCCCGTTACGGGACACTTTTCTTCAAGACGGCTTAGAGGCGGTTCCTGCGGGATCCTGACCGTCCCTGTTCCCCTCCCCCCCCGCCGCCGTCAATCGACAAAGCGCTGCTGCTGCTTCGCCGAAGCGAAAGACCAAGAAGGGCGAGATCGCACATCGGATTGCACCAAAAAAAAAGCACACGCGCAAACACAAGACACACAAACGCACCGCCTGGGTATCTTGTCAGGTTCTTCTTCTGGTGTTTCTGATGCACACTTAGAAAGAAACTTCATATAAATATTGTATACCTGAAGATCTTCCAAAGTTCAACTAGAGATGCAATCTGTTTGGCTTAATTGCCACCCTCCCCAGCAAAAAAAAAAAAAAAAAAAAAAATTATTTCATATCTCATTC